CTGAGTGTTTTGTGGTAAATACTGCAAATCGGAATAGTTAATTGACAATTACAGGATTGCATGCGAAAGTTTTGAAAATGTGTCACCTAAATACCACATGCGATCTGCATTAGTGAATGGAGCCCAGTATGTAAAAGAAATTCAAATTGTATTTAATTTCTTCATTTTCCATAAAATTATGATAAAATATTACAATTAATATAACAATGATGTAGCGCTATAATACTTTCAAATGATACAGAGCATGATACAAACCGGAAGTGCGTCACCACTTCACTACGTCACATCTACGCGTTACGCCACGCCTCTGACGGATGTCCTGACGAAGCTACGAGGGGCGTGGCGTAACGCGTAGATGTGACGTAGTGACGTGGTGATGCACTTCCGGTCCAGCACCATCTTGGTACACCAGAGTGCTCTCAGTACACCCATGTGAGGTGATGCAAGCTCATTGTGTCTCTGCTTAAATGTGAGTTATTACTTGGCGTTTTTTCTTCTAATAAATTCAGCATACAGTTTTGCACTATGGAGGATTTTTGTGTTCTTATTTTATGACCCTCAAAACCTCATGAGTATATAAGGCTATATACAGCGGTACCTGTCCATGGAGGAATAGTGGAAGGTGGAGGAGAAAGCATTGAAGAGTGTGGAGTAACCCTTCACCTGGAGAAAACGTGTAGGGTCCTGGGGTGACCCGTAAGGCATTTTGGCCCCTGTGGGTCGCAGGGGGAAGGTGAGCGGGCATGCTAGCTACCTAGGATTGTCACTCACCACCACCTGCACTGGCACAGGAGCATGTTTTTTTATCATTCTTTGTGTGTGCTATCATATTTCTAATATACACTAAATATAGTGGACAATATAAGTATTACTGTTATCCTAACCACCGATACGAGGAGACCTATATCTCCTCATAGGAAATCACTGTGTGTCACAACAATGTTGGAGTAATTATGTGGAGATTGATTCTTGACATATAGTGCACCAATCACTTTCAAAAGTCACAAGTTTAAGCTTGGTTGCTTTGTATGTTTATTTCGAGTTTTTTGTTGGAAGCGGCTCTGTATCATATGAAAGTATTATAGCGCTACATCATTGTTATATTAATTGTATCCATTTATCCATCTAAAGGTGAGGATTGGGAGTTAGCAGCTGTTTTATTATCCATAGCAGGTATAGCAGCGCAGGAGGATTCACCACTTACTTTAGATAAAATATTACAACTTCCAAAAACTTGCCATGCCTTTTACTAAATACCTTGGACTATCTACTTTCCTAAAAGGAGTCATTTAGGGGGTATTTGTTCTGTCCTGACATGTTAAGGCCTCAAAAAATGTTGGAATATATTGTTCATGTAGTACACCAACTACATCAGTGTCAGTGTTCAGTAGAGATATACTCTACAACCAGTAGATGGCAGTGTTTATATGTTTGTAGTGGTATCTATGATAAACTCTTTTCTCTATAAAATAAAGTTCCTGTTTTCTGTTTGAAGAGAAGCAGCAGATAACCACATGTAGCACTGTCTGTTCTGTAGATCTATATACAAGAAATGAGATAGGCTGTTAGTACATCAAGACATCAGTTTTCAAATATACAATATATACCAAAGTTTTTAGACTTTATAACTTTCACACAGACTAAATAATATACTCTGATTTGAATTATTTTCACCAAAGAAATATAGCAGACTACATTTTGGCCTAAACTTATGAAGAAAGCTTATTTGTTTCCTACATGTTGTAACAGAAACTTCTTTGGTATTTTTCGTTTATATAGCAAAAAAAAAAACAATAGTGGTGATTACATACAACCAAAAGAAAGTTCTATTTCTCTGAAAAAAAATTATATAAATGTAATTTTGGTACAGTGTTGCTAAGCAATTGCCAGTTAATGTAGCACAGTACTGAATCACATTAACCCCCCAGACTTGCCACTGATCCCATTCCCCCCCACCACTGCCAATGATCTCATCTGCCCCCCAGCACTGCCACTGATCCCATCCCCCCAGCACTGCCATTCATCCCATTTCCACCACTGCCACTGATCCTATGAACCCCCCGGCACTGCCACTGATCACACTACCCCAGCACTGCCACTAATCCCATCCTTCCTCCAGCACTGCCACTGATCCCTCTTCCCCTTCCCCAGCACTGCTACTGATCCCATTCTCCCCCAACACCATTGCCACTGATCCCAACAATCCCCAAACATTGCCAATGATCACACCCCCCAGCACTGCCACTCATCCGATTCCCCCACCACCATCACTACCACTCATAACATCAACCCCCCAGCTTTGCCACTAATCACACCCCCTCAGCACTGCCACTGATGCCACTGATCCCAGTCACCCCACCACCACCACCACTGCCACTGATTCCATCATCCTCCAGCATTGCCACTGGTCACACCTCCTAGCACTGCCACTCATCCCATCCACACAAGCACTATCACTCATCCCATTCCCCCCCAGCACTGCCACTGATCCCATTCCTCCCCTACCACCACCAGTGTCACTGATCCCATCAACCCCCCCTCCCCCACTGCAACCCCCCTCCCCAGCTGCAGGCATCATCCTGGTACCGTGTTTTCAGCCAGCGATTGGCTTTCATGAAAAAGCAATCCTAGTGGCTAATTAGCTGCAGAATTGCTTTTACAAGGAGCAGACACTGAACAGTTGGTAAGGTGGATGAGCCTGGCAGCATTCATGATAGACTGGAGGGGGGATAGCCTATGTAAAGGTAAGCCAATGAGGCGGGAGTTGTAGTAGTCGAGGCGAGAGATAACCAGGGAGTGAATTAGGAGCTTTTTGTTATCATTGGTTAAAAAGGGACATATTCTGAAGATGCTGTGGAGGTTGAGGTGGCATGATTTGGACAGGGATTGGATGTGGGCCTGAAAGGATAGTTCAGAATCCAAGGTTACACCTAGCACCCTGGCATGCAGGGATGGGTTGATAGTAGTGCTAGTGATCCTGACTGAGAAATCAGGGAAGAGGCACGTGGGGGAGGAAATATTATGAGCTCAGTTTTAAATAGATTGAGTTTTAGGAAGTGGTGTGACATCCAGTCTGATATGTCTGTTAGTAAATCGGTGATATGTGAGGAAACTGATGGGTGATCTGAGGAGTAGAGAGATAGATTTGTGTGTCATCAGCACAGAAATGGTATTGGAAACCATGGGAAGCTATCAGCTTACCCAAGGAAGAAGCATAGATCGAGAATGGGAGAGGTTCAAGGACAGGACCTTGGGGGACCCCGACAGTAAGAGAAGTGGGAGAGGAGGAAGTAGAGTTGTAAGTGACACTGAAGGTGCGGTGAGATAGGTAAGATTCGAACCAAAGGAGAGTACAGTCACGGAGACCAAGTAAATAGAGTTTTCTGAGGAGGAGTTGGTGGTCAACTGTGTGAAAGGCAGCGGAGAGGTTCAAGAGTAAGAGTATGGAATAGTGACCATTGGTTTAATGGTTGGTAAGTAGTTTGTGAATTTTAGGACAGCAGTTTCTGTGAAGTGTTGTGAGCAAAATCTAGACTATAGGGGATAAAGAAGGTTATTCTCAATAAGGTGGCATCTCAGCACTAGTCATTCAAGGAGTTTGGAGGCAAAAGGGAGTAAAGAGATGGGTCTTAGGTTGCTAACATTGGTGGGGTTCAGTGAGGCATTTTTAAGTATGGGGGTGACTAGTGCATGTTTTAGAGAGTTGGGGAAGATGCCAGTAGAAAGGGAGAGATTAAAGATATGAGTTAAAGAATGAAGGATAGAGCCAGAGGGTGACCGTAGTATTTGCGAGGGAACAGGGTTCAGGGGACAGGAGGTTAGGTGGGCTTTAGAAAAAAGTTTACCAACCTCCTCTATAGTACCTGGGTTAAACAAGGGAAATGTAGATTTTGCAGGTGAACAAGGAGGGTAGGGTGAGGGAGATCTTGTCATGAATTGTATCAATCTTATTTTTTAAGTGATTAGTGATCTCCTGGGCAGTGAGTGAGTTGGTGGGTGGAGGTAAAGAAGGACAAAGTAGAGAGTTAAAGGTAGAAAAGAGTTGACGGGGATTGCATGAGAGGGTGTTAATGAGAGTGATAAAATAGGTCTGTTTGGCAATGTGGAGACAGAAATTGTATTTTTGAAGGGCAGATTTATATTGGTCAAAGATTTGCTGGGTCTTAATCTTACACCATAAACGCTCAAGTGTACGGCTACGTTTTTTGAGGCATCTGCTATTGTCTGTTTGTCAGTCCTGTAGTGGAAGGGGCCTAATTCTGTGTGTAGTGAGGGGGGCCAATGTGTCCACGGTGGATGACAGTGACCTGTTGTATACAGAAGTGGCCAGGTTGGTGCAGGACAGGGCTGAGATTTTGTCATAGAGACAATCTGTTGCCAAAAAAAGAAGAGAAGGGTTAAGACAGCGAATGTTTCTACGGGTAACTGTTTGGTAGTTGGAAGACAAGGAGGAGGAAGCCAAGGAGAGAGTGAAGCTAATAAGGGAGTGATCAGAGAGAGGAAAAGGAAAGTTGGTGAGGTTGCAAGGAGTGCATAGTTAGGAGAATACAAGGTCAAGTCAGTTACCATTAGAGTGAGTAGAAGCATGTGTCCATTGTTTTAGGTCAAAAGAAGTGGTTTGGCACAGACGTTTGGAGGTAGCAGGATTGTTAAGATTAACAGGGATGTTGAAGTCACCAAGAATGATTGTGGAAATTTCAGAAGAGAGAAAGTAAGGCAGCCAGGCAGAGAAGTCATCAAGGAAGCTTGATACCGGTCCAGTAGGCCGACAGATCACAGCAATTCTTAAAGAAACTGGAGAGAATAGACGAATACAATGAACTTCAAATGAGGAGAGGGACAGAGAGGGAGGTGAATTAAGGACCTGAAAAGTGCTTAGAGGGGATAGGAGAATTTCAATTCCACCTCCTTTCCATCCACTAGGCCTGGGAGAGTGAGTCCAGAGGAGACCACCATGGGAGAGGGCAGCAGGAGAGGGAAAGTCAGATTAATGAAGCCAGGTTTCCGTAATTGCAAGTAGGATAAAGGAGTTTGAGATAAAAAGGTCATGGACAGAGGTGAGTTTGTTACACACAGAGCGAGCATTCCAAAGGGCACAGGAAAAGGGGAGGCTGGTTCTAGGAAGAAGAGGAATAGTAACCAAATTGTGTGGATTGCGGCTGTTGTTAGAGGATAGGGGATGCCGGGTGTGTTGGTCAAAGGAAAAAGATGGCTACCCAATATTTGGGGAAATGTCTCCAGATGTTAGGAGAAGCAGAAGGGTGAGAGGTAATATGGGAGTATGACTTATATGGAGGGACAGGTCCCAGTGTCCTGGAGGTTTTCTTAATATGTGGGTTCAGAATTAGCAGGAGTTGATAAGTACAGTAATAAAGTGAAGACAGGAGTGAGGGTGATATATATAAGTTGTGGGGTGGAGAAGAGAGAGAGTTTGAAGAGAGAGGATACAACTGTGAGAAGGAGGAGTAGGGAGTGCATGTTACAGAGTGGTGAGATGAAGAAGTGGACTAGGTAAGAAATGAAAGAGCTGGATGGGGAAACAGGTCACCTGTAGTCTGTTTAGTATTTAAAGTTGTCTGCTGTGGATTCTCGCTTTGTGCTTTTGCTGAAGTGCAGAGCCGAAGAGCAATGCTCAATACTTAATCCAAGATCAATACTTTAGCCAAGATGATAGTTGCCAATGCTACCCCTCGCTGTGCTGTCGCTGGGTGTGCCTAAATTTATACTGAGCTTAGGGTGTCTACTTTCCAAAAAGGGTCATTTGGGGGTGTTTGGACTGCACTGTCATTTTAGCACCTCAGAAAATGTGATAGGCAGTCAGAAAGTAAAAGCTGTGTAAATTCCAGTATCCATACTATAGTTTGAAGACACTATAACTTTCATGTAAACCAATTAATATACACTTGGGATTTATTTTTACCAAAGACATGTAGCAAAATACATTTTGGCCTAAATTTATGACTAACTTTAAGTTAACAGGATATTTTTTATAACAGAAAGGAGAAAAAATCTTTTTTTTTTTTTTTTTAAATTTTTGGTCTTTTTTTGTTTAAAGTGCACAAAATAAAAAAACCCAGAGGTGAGCAAATACCACCAAAAGAAAGCTCTATTTGTGGGAAAAAATTACATAAATGTAATTTATGTGCAGAATTGCATGACTGCGCAATTGTCAGTTAACCAAGTGCAGCGCCGTATAGCAAAATAGGGCGTAAATTCCATTATCTATACCATAGTTTGTAGACGCTATAACTTTCACATAAACCAATTCATATACACCTATTGGGTTTTTTTTTTTTACCAAAGACATGTAGCAAAATAAATTTTGGCCTAAATTTATGATTAACTTTGAGTTCACTATATATTTTTTTTATAACCGAAAGTAAAAAATATTGTTTTTTTTTTCAAAATTTTTGGAAAAGCACAGTGGTGTTCAATTACCACCAGAAGAAAACTCTATTTGTGGGAAAAAAGGACATACATTTCATTTGGGTACAGCATTGCATGACCGCGCAATTAATAATAGCGGAGTGCCAAATAGCAAAAAATTTTATTGAAATAATACAAGACACTTCATTCAACACTGTGCACTGTGATGTGTGGTGGTACGCTGTGTGGTGAGTTGTGCTATGCACACATGTATAATTATGCTGCGCACATGGTCGGATAGATAAAATGGTGTGAAGAGGATACACAGTGATCAATGGTGTGCTCCACAGGCCTGGTGTTGATCTATGCAGACATGGCGTGGACAACCTCAGGTCAGGGAATTGTAGCATCCCAGCTGTTGGGAGACTACAAATCCCACAGATGGAACAATGGATGCGATCCAAGCACCTGATACCCTGCATTCCTCCCCTGACATATCACACGCCATTGTCTATTCTTTCCAGCTAATGCAGGATCCTATAGTGCTCAATGTTGCTGGGATCCGGGCAGCCGGGCACCCATCCCCACTACCACTGCCGCTGGTCATGCTTTTTTGAAGAGGGGGAATTCATGGTTTCTTGCACTAGGACCCTAAAGGTTCTAGTTACACCTCTGCTACAGACATCTCTAGTTACATGCACTGTGACGTAATTAATCCTATAAGATCCTCAGAGATGGGAGCATGAAATTGTCCAAAATGTCTTGGTATGCTGATGCCTTAAGAGTTCCCTTCACTGGAACTAAGGGGCAAAGCCTAACCCCTGAAAAATAACCCCACACCATAATCCCCCCTCCACCAAACTTTACACTTGGCACAATGCAATCAGGCAAGTACCGTTCTCCTGGAAACCGCCAAACCCAGACATGTCAATCGGATTGCCAGACAGAGAGTCCAATGGCGGCGTGCTTTACACCACTGCATCCGACGCTTTGCATTGCACTTGGTGATGTAAGGCTTGGATGCAGCTGCTCTACCATGGAAACCCATTCCATGAAGCTCTCTATGCACTGTTGTGCTAATCGGAAGGCCACACAAAGTTTGGAGGTCTTTAGCTATTGATTGTGCAGACAGTCGGCGACTTCTACGCCCGGTGCACTTCAGCATGTGCTGACCCCGCTCTGTCATTTTACGTGGCCTACCACTTTTTGGCTGAGTTGCTGTTGTTCCCTGTTGCTTCTACTTTGTTATAATACCACTAAGCCTTGGTTCACATCTGTGCGGTTGTGCAGGCCACAATTTGTATGGACACGAGAGCCCATTTGAATGGACTCTCGTGCCCCGGGACACACAGGGAAGAAGTCCCTGCACTACTTTGGAAATTGCAGCCCACACGAGTCCCAGTATGGTTGTGATTTTCAGTGCGGGCGGCGTGCCATTAGAAATAAAGCATTCCTCTATGTGGGTGGTGTGGCTACAGGTATTAGTGCGTGTCCCGAAGCGGCACCACCTGCACAGATGTGAACCGAGTGTTGACCGTGGAATATTTAGTAGCAAGGAAATTTCACTGATGGATTTATTGCACAGGTGGTAACCTATCAGAGTACCACGCTTGAACGCACTGAGCACTTGAGAGCGACCCATTCTATCACAAATGTATGTAGAAGCAGTCAGCGTGCCTAGGTGCTTGAATTCATTCACCTGTGGCCACGGAGGTGATTGGAACACCTGAATCCAATGATTTGGAGGGGTGTCCCAATACTTTTGGCAATATAATGTATATAGTATAGACCCTGTCTTTAGGTGGATTGTCCAAATGTAGTGTTTACAGATAGGCTGTAGCTAGCCTGAGCTTTGTTTATGTTATCTGATATTGTTGGGTTTCCCATAAGCCCTAGGATGTTGTTTGCTTCTGCCTGCTACTGTTCTGTGTTTTCCAGTAGTTAGAGCACAAAGATATTGGGTTATGAATATTTATTTCACCCTGGCCAATCAGTGTTGTAGGCTGGGTTATGCCAGTTATGTAGCCTGAGGAGGGGATTAAATATTTAGGGAGACTTTCTACAAGGTCGTTTCCCTTCCATGCTTTGTCTGGGAGTGTGTGTAGGGTCATTTGCCCAGGCCTGTGGAGTCCAGGTCCCTTGCTCCCAGTCCAGCTGCCTGGGTAGAGTATAGGTGTGGAGAGGTTCAGTTCATGTTTCTCAGGCACTTTGCCTACGGGGGGAATGTGGGGTAGAGCTGAAGTTGAAGAAGAGTTCTGCTTAGTCAATTGCAGGTCTCAGTTTAAAAGCCCACAACTACTAATTACCAGACATGGCTTAAAGGTCCACCATTAGGCCTGTTGCACATGGGACACCTAAATGATCTAAATGCAGCCCATTGTTTTAATAGGCCTGTAGACACAGGAGCATAAACCTGTGCTGCATATTGATCAGTAAAAAAATAAATACAAACAAATCTGCATCAGTATTTTATGCATGTAGGGGTAAATACGTGCAAAAGCGCGAATAAACATCACTTTTTCTTGATTTAAAAAACTAGAATTGCTCCACTTATGTACATATACGCACGAATACGCACCAGAAATGCACAAGTGCTATACAGCTCATTCTCATGTTTTTCTGCCAGGAATATCTGATATTCATAAATCAGTATCACGTGCCTTTGGCCTGTGAGAGGGGATGAAGATACTTGATGACCGATTCACACCAAAACACGCTGTGGGAAATTCTATGCGCATTTCCCGCACTGCAGGTGAACATGCTGCCCTTGTGATCTGCATGCAGGTGCAAATGTGTTGTTAATGGCACCTCAAATGCAGATCACAAGCACAGTGTGTTTGCAGGCATCAGATAACATGATACCACAGTACCATGTAATTTAGTGAAGTTTTTTTGAAAAAGTAATGCTTGCACCACTTTTCCAGTGCGCTTGCAGCCCATTCAAATGGGTGGGCTGTCAAAACACACCATGTTCAGGTGTGAACAGGCCCCAAAGCTATCGTTTGTCTGGCCTAGCATATCTGTCTTAGCCTGCGTCTAAAGATACTACTAAGCAGAGGGAATTTTTTGCTGTTTTTATGTGTGTTCTGTACCCCTAGTGCTTTCTTTCCTGGACAACAGAGATAATAAAATAACAAAAAGTAGCAAAAAGAAGATTTTATAGAGTACAGGATTGTCTGTCTGTCTGTCTGTCTATTGTCGTTGAATGTCTGGGTGCAGCTACAAGGCCAATCACCAGTAAGAAGGCTGGGAATATGCAAGCTCCTATGGGGCTTATTGCATAATATATATTGTTACTGAAAACTATGACATATAATTAAGTTATTCATGTAGACCTGTACATTTACTAATATTATGATAATGGATCATATTTTAAAGGCCCATTGTACTCTGAATACATAAGGATTTGTTAAATGTAACATTTATATAAAAGCTCATTCAGATATTTAAAATGTATGGCAAAATAGTTAATATGATATGCTAGTCTAGCAGCATTTAAAGTACTATAGGATCTTGAACGGTATTTTATTGCTGTACCATCTGATATTATCTACATAGAGATCCATTGCTGATTTTGATCCAATTTTGCATCAGTAACCAAACTGTTTCTGCTTTCAGCATCCTTACAAAAGTACAAACAAAACTGCAACTTGCAGAACAAATTAATTTTTGGGATTAGATTTGTCAGCTTTCCATGGGCATTTGACACTTTCAATGTGGTGTTTATGTGTTACAAAATAGTCTAAGGCATATTAGCGCAATTTGCAAATAGGCTATAAAACTTTGTTCATGGTAAATGCACTTATGCTGGATGTTTCTGCTTAGCGTTATTAATGACACTAGTAAATATCCTGATCTTTTATAAAATGTTCATCTTATTAAATGTACAGTTTGTATTAACTTCTTACTTAATGTCTTTGGTTGACAACACAAGCATTGTATGCCCTAAATACAAAAAAGAAGAGGGAAGAGCAAACTTTAGT